AACGAGAGAATCGCAATGCGATTTCATTTCGCATTGCGATTCTTTCGTTGCGATAGTCAAATTCGCATTGCGATAGTCATTTTCGCATTGCGATAGTCATTTTCGCATTGCGATAGTCATTTTCGCGTTGCGATTTTATTGTTGCGATTTTATTGTTGCGATTTTCATTTCGCATTGCGATTCTCTCGTTGCGATAGTCTTTTCGCGTTGCGATAGTCATTTCGCATTGCGATAATAAACTATTCTTCTGCAAATTGAACTTGAATGGATTGCATTACTTCAACCAAAAGACAACCAAAAACAAATACTACTTCACATGGTTAAAGAATAAACAGTTAAACAGTATTGGCAGCAACGAATGAATTTACTAAGCAATCTAAGTGAAATTACGAGTAATTTATCATCAAGTTAAATATGAAAAATATTAAACTTACCTCGTTGCGTAGAGTATGAACCTTATTCTGCAACGATGCTACAAAATCACGTAGAGCTGCTACCTCACCACGTAAAGTAGACACCTCAACACGCCATGCACCATTGTCATCGCGTAAAGTATCGACCTCCTCACGCAAGGCATTGACCTCATTACGTAACTCCCCTAACTTATCCCGTGGAGGTGGAGAACATAGAGATAAACGTCGTGGTATCTTTGCCGGTCGCCTATTATGAGGTGATGGTGGAGAAGAGGCTCGATGATGTGACAGAATAGGTGATGACTCTCGTTATGGAGGTGTATATTCGGGTCGATCAGGTGATGGCTCTGGGTGAGGTGATGGCTCTCGAAGTAGTGGCTGCTCATCATCCGTGCCATAAAAAAAGTTACTAGCTTGCCACCAATTAGTGTCAAGCTCAGCTTCCGTGGGTGTCAGCCTCTGTATAGAGTGTGGCCTCCTAACAATATAAAAGCTCAAACAAAGTTAAAAGTGTACTAGTAATAACTTGTTTATAAACATATGGTAGTATTTGTGTTAATTACATTATTATTGTAGTATACAGTAGTAAATCTTCCCATTGCTGCAAGGACCGTTTCCTCTTCCAGGAAATAGCCCTAGGAATATCATTAGAAGTTTTTAATGCATATGTCTGCATGGCGGGAAAGGCCTCAAATATCTAAATCTACAAACAATATAATAACAAACATTAGTAATTGTTAAAGAATTAATTATAATTTTGGAAACATTATATAAAAATTATTACCTTAAAGGCCCAAATAAAGCCTGACAAAGTGTATTTGGAACCATCGCCACGTAAACTTTTCCGATCATTAAAGGCAGACGACAACTTATTCCATGTAGCTCTCCATAGATACGAACCCCACAGAAACAGGTTCCATGCATTTAGGTCCTCTACCAATTTAATTAGATCATTAGGAATAGGTTGTCGGGCCTCTATCCCTAAAAAGCCGGCTTGCAAAAGTATTAGAAGGCATACTCGGACAACATCGACGTTATCCATCCGAGTAAAACCATCTTTCTTATTTAATAATCTCATCAAGTCTTCCACGGATACCGATCTACATCATCGTGTCCGAAGCGTAGACCGGTGACAGCTCAGGAAAAACCCGGGAAAACCATGATAGACGGGTAATATGTCTAGTGTACCGATCTACATCATCGTGTCCGAAGCGTAGACCGGTGATTAAGCAAAACTTCTCCCGCCCAAAACACGTATACGCTGTGGAAAATCAAAACCATATCTCTTCATCACGACGTTGTATATGGTAGAGCTAGTCATGGTTTGAAGAAACAGATGGGTCAACATAGCATCTCCACATGGATGTTGTACTTTCAGTCATGGCCCGAAGCAAGTATCCTCAAATATTTTTCTTTGTGTAGGTGAAAGCTTCGACGCAATTGTTTTGGCCAGGCTTACTTTATTTCTTAAGGTCAATTGAGCCGAATAAAAGTCTGCAAAAACAATAAACATACCAATTTAGATATACCAAAAACTACACTGTGAAGATATGAACAATAAACATAAAGAATAGTAGTTTATTCTTCAAACTTAAATTTGCAACACTGTGAATTTAGTATTTGTTTTTTGGTTAAAGTAATGCAATTCATTTAAGTTTCAATTTGCAGAAGAATAATAGTTTCTGAAACTTTAAATCGCAACACGAAAATGAAAATCGCAACACGAAAATGACTATCGCAACGCGAATTTGACTATCGCAACGCAAGAATCGCAACGCGAAATGAAAATCACAACGACAGAATCGCATTGCGATAGTCATTCTCGGTTTCAAATAAAATTGAAGAAATTGAATGGATTGCATTACTTCAACCAAAAGACAAAACAAAGACAAATACTAACTTCACAGGGTTAAAGACTAAATAGTTTAGCAGTATTGACAGCAATCGAATGAATATAATAAGCAATCTAAGTGAAATGGTTAATCTATTATTGAAAACACCAGTAAACTTATCATCAATTTCAATATGAAAAACCTAATAATAATGCAAAAATTTCAAAATAAAAATAATTAAAAAAACTAACACTCGGTGATTGATTTGGTTGATTTTCCATTTCTGTCTGTGAATGATTTCGCCGGAGATGGAGACTGATATCGTCGGAGATGGGGACTGATTTCGTCGGAGATGGGGACGGATGTCGCCTTAGAGAGTGAGAGATGGAGATGAGACTGAGTTGTGATTTAGGGTTTTAGGTTATGAGTTGCGATTACGGGATATACTGTGGACGGTTCAGTGTTCCGATATATTAATATATTCGTGTTTGGAATTTGAAAAAAAATACGCGTTGGATACGAATGGCGCTATGTAAATCGCATTGCGATAGTCAGATTTGCATTGCGATTTACATATTCGCATTGCGATTTACGTATTCGCATTGCGATTTACGTATTCGCATTGTGATTTACGTATTCGCATTGCAAATTAGGAAAATCGCAACGCGAATTTGGAAAATCGCAATGCGAATTTGGAAAATCGCAATGCGATAGTCAGAATCGCGTTGCGAATCTGGAAACTGATTTGCGATATCAGAGATCGCGTTGCGAATTATCGATCGCATTGCGATTTAGTTGGTCATTTTGGCAAATCAAAAAAAAGTTGGTTAAAATCGTATATTATAAGGTATTTTTGGTCACTGAGGTTATTTTCTCATTAATAAAATAAAAACTCTTTTAAGGGAGAGAAGGAAAACGACGGCGATTTTTTTAAAAAAAACATCCTTACCCACTAATTTTCCTGTCAGGCAATTTTGATTTAACATCATTTTCAGTAAGGCACGACCCTTTATGTTAATCTGACGTCACGTGGGTAAGGCGCGTCCCTAAAATGCGCCTTGGTAAACGTGTAAAAAATTCAGATGTTAATTTTGTAAATATTTTTAAAATGATGTCTAATATGTAATTAATTTTTTTTAAAGTGATATTTATGTAAAAACATCAACTTTATTTATTTATTTATTTTGTGTGTGAGAAAAAGAAATTTATACATTAAAATCTTTAAATATTCTTTTACAAATTATTTTATAACTAGATAAATTTTAATTTTTTTGCATGAAATTAAATAATACGTATAATATAGTATAGGAAATCTTTGAGGGTAAGTATTTTAAAATATGAATAATTTTATAAAAGTTTTATAACTATTATTTCTTTTTCAAAATGATGATGATAATAAATATTTTTAATTTTAAAAATTATAAATTTTATATATTTTTGAAAAAAAATTAACTTTATTTTTTATTGAATTTTATTCACTTTTAATAAAATATGAATAATTTTATAAAAGTTTTATAACTATTATTTCTTTTTCAAAATGATGATGATAATAAATATTTTTAATTTTAAAAATTATAAATTTTATATATTTTTGAAAAAAAATTAACTTTATATTTTTTTATTGAATTTTATTCACTTTTAATTTTTTATTGTATTTTTATACTTTTAATTACCATTTATATATCAAATGAATTATTATTCATTTTTTTTAAAATCAATAAAAATACAATAAAAATTTAAAATTGAATAAAATTCAATAAAAAAGAATATAAAGCTAAAACAATATTACCTCTTTATTTTAAATATTCTTTTTAATATTAATTTTTAAAAATATTAAATAAATATTAAATTTTAATTTTATTAAAAATGAATAAACATTATTAATTTTAAAAGTTTATTTTAATATTTTTTTATATTTTAAAACAATTAATTTTAAAAATCATTTTTTTTTAAAAAAAATATAAAATTTATAATTCTTTTAAATTATAAAATATTTATCATCATCATCAATTTGAAAAAGAAATACTAGTTATAAAACTTTTATAAAATTATTCATATTTTAAAATACATACCCTCAAAGTTTTCTTATACTAGATTATATGTATTCTGTAATTTAATGCAAAAATCTTACAATTGATAGATCAAATGAATTATTATTCATTTTTTTAAAAAATCAATAAAATACAATAAAATGAATTAAAATTCAATAAAATTCAATACAAAAAGAATATAAATTCAATTTTTTTCAAAAATATATAAAATTTTATAATTTTTTAAATTATAAAATATTTATCATCATCATCATTTTGAAAAAGAAATACTAGTTATAAAACTTTTATAAGATTATTCATATTTTAAAATACTTATCGTTAAAGTTTTCCTATACTAATTTATACGTATTGTGTATTTTCATACAAAAATCAAAATTTATCGAGTTATAAAATAATTTGTAAAAGAATATTTAAAGTTTTTAATGTAGAATTTTTTTTTCACACACAAAAAATAAATAAATAAAGTTGATAGTTTTATACAAATATCACTCTAATAAAAATTAATTATATATTAGATATCATTTTAAAAATATTTATAAAATTAACACCTAAGTGTTTTACACGTTTAACAAAAGGTGTTAGATAAAAAAAATATAATTTAAATAGTGACTGACTGGAAAATTTAGTGGATAAGGGTGAATTTTTTTTGGGAAAATCGCCGAAAACGACGACCTCCAATTTTGTTTTAAAAAGAAATAAAAAATCATTTCGGCTTTAATATATTTATTTTCGGTTTCGTTGCTCCACCACACTTCCTACTACACTGTGGCATATAATATCTTCTTCGTTTTGAAAGTTCAGAACGAAAACCTCAAGATTTATTGTTATTTTCGAGTTATACTCTCCGTAAGTTCTTTCTCACTTCCTCTTCATTTTTTAATTTATTTTTTTATATAAAAAGTAGTATTTCTATTGTTCTTTGGTTGATTTAAGGGGTTTCGATTTTCTTTCTTGTTTTATTGCTTGTATTGTTTTTTTTCTCGTTTGTTTACGGTGATTTGTTTCATTTGAGTGATTTTTTGTTGGTTTTTTCATCGATATATTTGTTTTCATTACTATTTATGGAATTTTTTGAGCTAGAAAGTTTATTGAGGATCATAATTCAAGCTATGTATGTGCATGCATGCATGTATGTAAGCTTATGGATGATGATATGATGTGTCTGGTCTTTTACGATTGTTAATGTTCTTGCTAAATTTAGTTTTTCTTGATTTTTTTAGTTATATATTGCGGATTTAATGTAAGATCATTATTAATATAGATGAATTTTCGGAGCTGATTTGATTACTATTTAGATGGATTCCATATCAGACATTTAATCTTTTTGCAGAACAATATATATGATTGCTTATGTTAATTTAGTGTTATATTTTCGTCCATTAATTATTCATTCTTGGATTATTTTTGTGATTTTTTTTTCTAATTTTGTTTGTAGCAATTTTTTAGGAAAATAACACAACAAAATACCAAAGGCGACTATAAAATGGAACTTTGATGAAAAATATTGGGTACTCTGTTAGCCTAGCTAAAGTAGCTAAGCTAATTGTATAGTATCTTATCAAAGCCTATTACTTAATTAGGGTCTTATTTGAAGAGTTATGTTACTCAAACTCTTAATTTTCTCTAAGGTATCTATGTACGACACATTCAGCGGTACGAGAATATGATCCTTCGTGTACAGAAAAACTTGAATTTTTTTATCATATTCATGTTGGACAAATATTTCCAACACTCACCCGAATTTGGGTATAAGCCTAAGTATGATCCATAATATATGAAAGTAGTGTTAAAGAAATACAAAAAAGTTGGGTAGTATGAAGCTATTAGTCATTAATTGACTTGTTTATGAAGCTAAATTGAGTTTTTTTTATTTTTATTTATATCTTTTTGATAGTTTAGAGCATGTTTCTTGAGAATAAAAGCAACAAGAAGTATAGTATTGTAGCCAATTTGCAACTCTAATTGTAATATGGTCCTTTGATTTGTTTTGGGTTTATGCCCCAAATGAGCTCATCAATAATTGCTGTTATATGCATGTTTAGTTCTTCTAATTTGTTTATAATAATAACTGAGAGAGAAAAAGAGAGAGAGAGAGAAAATACATGCATATAGAAAAAAAAGAAAAATCAATTTTATTTTTATATTTTCCCATTATGTTCTGCATCTAATTTTTTTTTTGTATCCTCAGTAATCTTTATATGGTATGTTCTGTGAGATCAATTTTTCTCATGTAATGTTGAGCATTGGCTGCTTCAATCTATGCCTCTTGAAGGGTGTGATGTTTTATTTTTCCCTGTGTATTTGTGATTGATTTTATATGCATTTTCTCATGAATGTCCTAGCTAATTGTTCGAGGATAGACATATGTATATATACATGTAATGCTAATTATGATATGCTTTTCTTGTGTCTATTAATAGCTACGTTTTGCATAACCAAGCTGTAGGTTGGGGACCATAGATTTTAGACTACGGAAGCATGCACCGAAAACCAGATGGTACAAACCATCCAGAATCCAATGCACATAACAATAAACCACAGACAATTCGGGTTCAACCTTGGTGGTGCAGCACACGACAGGATTCTATCTTATCGGGCGTTTTAGGAGAAAGCAAGAGTAGCTTATCTCCGTCCAAACACCCAAATGTAGATCTAGGGGCCAAGACACCTGAATCTCCAAGCACGGTTGGGACTGATGAGAAGCTTTGCTCTAGTAAAGGAATGCCTTTGACTATGTTGCCGCATCCAGGTAACGCACAGCCTGTTTTATTCAATGGGTTTGCTTCATGTGAGTGATCCTGAACTGCTATCTTAGATCATCGACATTAAGTGTGCAATAAAAATGTTGGCTCTGTACCTTGAATTTTAGATTGCTTTAAGAGAGACCAAGATCTTTGAGGTTTATTGATAAAATCTGACCTACATTTTATTCATGCCAAGTAGCCTCTTTAAATAGAGGTTACATAACTTGAACTAAAAGGATAAACAAAATAAAAAGGACTCCTACTAATAATAAACAACTGCCTGCTAATAATTTATATAAAAAAACTGTCTGCTAATAACTCTCAAAATAATAATAATAATTTGACTTCTAATGAAAAAATTGACCTCTTATAAAATAATAATATTTATTTTTTCCCCCTAAAGTAATTAACATAACATTAATTCCTTCCCGGAAAAGAGCTTGTCCTCAAGCTCGAAGTTGTGATGAACTTTGAAAAACCATTCCATTACTAAAGGTTGAAACCGATAAGGGTCTTGGACCTTTACCATCTTAGTTTCATTTGTGAACACCTTTGAGATAACCCCCTTCAATTTTTACGCTAACATCCAGAATTTTTAATGAGAAAAGTTTGGCTATGATTCCGCTATATGCAATCCCAACAACTGGAGACAAGGGTCTGCTAACATAAGGTGTCATATTGCAATCCTTCGTGCTTAGAAAATCACCACTTGGCTCTCATTTGGTTGTTGTTCTTATGACTTCACAGTTTTGTCCTCAATCTTTGCCATACAATTGTTTCCATTTGATGCTTCAAACTTCTCAATGTCACCAGGTTCTTCGTTGGACATATCATCGAACACTTGGGTACCATCACCTGCTCCTATATTTTTCATATGGATTCCTAATAAGGATAACCTCATTTACCCTTTTTTGTTGATCTTTCATCAAACACCTATTAAAAATTAACTGTTTCCTAATCTCTCTCAGACTAATAATAATTTGACTCCTCATGATAATAAAACTGATGTCTCCTAAAATAATAATATTTATTTTTTCTTTAGTAATTAACATAACATTTTCAATCAGCTCGTTTTATTAAAATGATGTTCGCTGAATAACTGTTTCCTAATCTCTCTCAGACTAATAATAATTTGACTCCTCATGATAATAAAACTGATGTCTCCTAAAATAATAATATTTATTTTTTCTTTAGTAATTAACATAACATTTTCAATCAGCTCGTTTTATTAAAATGATGTTCGCTGAAGTTGACCATAATTTGCATGACATTATATTGCAATTGTTGCATTGGAATCAAACACATTGGTAACTTTGGGTAATAATTTGACTTCTTAACTCCACAGTTCCTCTTTCTCTAACCAGTGATGGCTAAGATTGTGGCAGGCATATCAACTTTGGAAGGATAATATTTCAAAATGTTTGCATAAAAGCAAAAGCAGCCCATAATCTAAATTTTTATTTACTTGGTGACTGTGTGCTCTTACCTGCATGTAGATCCGTGCAACATGCATACTTTGCCTTCAAAAATCAAATGATCAGTTTTTAATTTGAAGTAAGGAAGGCGTAATACTTGAATGCAATAATTTTCAAGGCATGATATTCAACTCATTATTGTACTTGAGTTGCAGTCATGAGATTTAAAAGACTTGATTGTGTAACTGATGTAGTCTCAAGGCAGATTTCAATGAGACCATGGAAGGGCATTGATCCTATCAAAATTCTGATTGGAGTTGAATTGCATTCATTCAACTAACATTGCTATACCATAACCAAACAGCAATAACGACTCTCTTCGTTTTCTAGGCAATGAACTTTTTGTCTTTTCTTAGTTACTGTTGTACTTTAACAATTGTTAACTTGCATTCCATTTTCACATATCATGTTGATATGCTGCAAAGCTAATGTTGATTTTTCTTTTATGAACAGATGGAAAATGTGGCAATGAACAATCATATTTACAACATACTATACCTGTTATACGTCCGACAATGGGTGACTATGTACCACCACCAATCCAGCTGGAGCTTGTTGGCCCCTCAATTGTAAATTTTCTCTTCCTCTCTTGGGAGAACGCATATAATTTTGAAGATCAATTGGCATAGCATATTATATTTAACTGTTGGATTTATCATTTGTGGGTTTGATTTGATAGGAAGGATAGAAAGGTGGAAAGACGAATAGTATTTCATCCAATGGTTAAATTATCTTTTGCTTCAATTATAACTATTGGATAAAAAACCTATATGTCCACCTTTCGTATTTTAGGTTGAGGCCATCATAGATATTTACTCGAATGGTGCAATGATTGAATTCTAAGAGGAAAACTGTCTTGCAGGCATGTCCTTCCTATCCATATGCTGATCCATATTATGGGGGAGTAGTGCCTCCTTATGTACCTCAATCTTTGGTATGGGTTTATGCAGTCCACTATTCACCTTAAATATTTTTTATGTTCCTAATTGTTTGGTTTTGTATGGGTATATTAACCTTTTGACTGCCTAAAAATTATTTGCTCCTAAGATGGCTGTATCTCCATTTAATTTTTTTAGACTCGAGCTTGTTTTTGACATGTTTTTGTGTGTCAGTCTTGTCAAATACCAGTGTGTGCCTGACACGTGTAATTTCAACTCAAGCCCACTTGAAGTTTTTCCATTTATTTTGGAGGATCATATCTCCATACCTATGCTTGCATACGCACCGGACATGTGTGACTCGAGAAAAATAAAGGGTCACAGCATTTTAGTTTTAGACTGTAAAAGCATATGCATGTATACGAGCCTTGCTATTTTTTCCCATCATCATCATCCTTGTACAAGGTTTCATAAGAGTTGAAAAAAGGTAGTAAAACAGCAAAGGATTTCTCGTTTTAAGGTTTTGAATTGGGTTCGCGTGCATGGATTGTTCCTGCCCCTTAATTTGAGGCAAAAAATATAAAACACCAATGTGTCTTTTTAATAGTATGAATAGATAGGGTTCTAAGGCAATGTAAATGACTTAAGCTACTTGTACGTGGGTTTGAGTGTACAACACCAATGTGTTCGACATAGGTATTCTCAGTTTTTTTTCATGTATTGGAGGTCTCTTGGTAGGTTAAATCATCATATTCATGTCTGAATATGATTCAAACATGAGTATGTCGAGAAAAATTGAGTCGGAGTAGGTAAATAATCATAGAAAAAACACTCCCAAAGTGGATTTTTTTCAGTAAGACTGCTCGAGTTATGCACCTTGCTTGCATGAATACCATGTCTCGAGCAATAAAAACTTTACCATTCTTTAAACCCTCGAAATGGTGATGCAATGGTTTGATAACTTATCCATTTTATGGACAAATTCTCACTCTATACCTCATCAAAAGAATTAGAAGTAATACTTTCTTGTATTTATTATTATCCCAGTGGCATGGCAAATTGAAAGGTAATAAGTGAAATGAAAAAAATCTTTTTTTCCATCAGAAGTTTCAAAATCTAACACTAAAATATGGTTTGGTATCTCTTGATATAGAATGTGGAAGGCTTTTGTATTTGGTTCATAATATCACTTGCATGATATGTTACTAATAAATAATAGAATATCCATGCCGTTGTCTAAAATGATGGTTAAAAAGAAAACACCATTTGTCGAACATTCACTTCTCAAGGTAGGGTTGTCAATGGAAACAGTGCAAAAAGTAAACTCGGATTTAAGATTACTAGTAACACCAGGTAATGTGTACATTGAAAATTATCTTATCATTGATTATGATATAGAAAGTAATTATGCAAGTTTTTTTATGTATTCATGCCATAGAATTTTTTTTTCTTAGAAGTTGAATATGCTATTAAAATATAATAATGAATATTTTTGAAAATTATTGAAATATCATTTCAGGTAAATGCCCATAGTCTTGGTGTGTATCCTGCTAGAATGGCGTTGCCTCTTGAAGTAGCAGAGGAGCCTGTTTATGTGAATGCTAAGCAATATCATGGGATTTTGAGACGAAGGCAGTCACGTGCAAAAGCTGAGCTGGAGAAGAAAGTAACCAAATCTCGAAAGGTATTTTTTTGGTCTAAATATAAGCACTTACATATAAGTAATCGATTATCACGAATGTTTTGCATTGGAATACAGTTGGTTAGTACTATAATGTAGGTGTAGATTCTATTCTTCGTTGTACGTGATGCTTGAGAATATATTTTGATTTTGCATGGCATATTGGCATTTGCAATTTCATGGTTAAAGTTCTAAGGCAAGTATGTCACAATCTCAACCGTGTTCCTTTTGCATGTGATAAATGAATTAATGTGATAATCTGGTGGCATGGAGTTTTGTGTGTCTTATTGAGATTAAAACTTGCATAAAGTAGGAAAATAGGAAAACACTGAGCAGTTCGAGTTTTGTGAAAAGTGAGAAAATGTTCCAATATTTACCGTGAGCATTGATGGACAGCAAGGAGACTAGAACTGGTGGATCAGTGATACCAAAATCTCACAGTGTGATACTTATGAAATGATGAAAACATCAGGCTTTTATTAATAATAATAGTTTAGAAGCGATAAAGTACCATTACTCGTCTAAGATACAAAAGTTTCTCATATGATAATTGTTGAGACCAAAAGACTATCTAATTCCTCGAGTGATGCATGTCCATGTCATAAAGAGCAGAGAGATTATCGTTGAAGCAGAGTGTAGAAGAGAGATTTCAAAGGCATGATGATGTAAGCAGATACTTGAACGTTATATATTTCAAGAGAATACATTGTCATTGTATTCTATCTTAATGTTCAAGCCTTTACTTGAAGCTGGTTGTTCGACAATATATTATAGCTGTCAAACTAAGTGTAAAGTTTGTTTTCACTTATTCCACTAAGTTCATTATTCAACTGAGTTTCAATTTATTTTCGTACTTGTTCATTCAAGTTTTTAAGTTCTCTTGAATGAGATGGTTAATGATACCAATATCCGTTATGAAGAATGATAGTTTCTTTGCTATTTCAAACTGGGAAATCGTTGTTCCAACAAAATATAGCATGAAAATAATGCATATGCACGTATTGTTATCATGAGATTGATAATTGAGGTAGTACCATACGTGTGAAAAATCTTTCTTTGCACGTATTACTACATCCTAGTGCAAGGGAAATCTCTTTTCAGGCAAGAATGTGGTCTACTTGTTTCTTCATTATTTGTATTTCACGTGCATTTATGAGGCTCTATGTGTCTATTTGTCGTGTTTTTAAGCCCTACCTTCACGAGTCTCGACATTTACATGCTATGAGAAGAGCAAGAGGATGTGGGGGGCGGTTCTTAAATACGAAGAAGCCGGAAAGTGATGCATCTAAAGCCAAGGCTGACAAAAGCAGTGAGGTTAGTTCAAATCTTTCATCACAACGTGCCAACAACTCATTGAGAGAAGCTACTGGATCTGAACTTCAGGGAACAAACATGCAGCAAGCATTCTCAAACAGCAACAGCTACTATCTGCATCATCAAGGGTTTCATTTGTCTACCTCTCGTTCACTTTCAGATAAAACATTGGAAGGAGGAGACTGTCCGAGACAGCCACATGAGAGAATCATGGTAAATGGGGTGTCTCACAGAGCCCTGACAATCAAATGAACCTCCCTAAGGGGTGAAGTATCTCTCCAATCATCCCTTTTTATTGTTACAACTCTTTATTCGTATTGTGGAGTTCCTGATTGTGAACTCCTATTGTTTCACCGTTCCATGCTTTTGTTTCATCTCGTCGACGATGTTTCTTGGTGTGAGCCTGGAGGATCATTCGACCAAGTTGAAGGGAGGAGCACTATGTTATGTTAACAGGCAAATCATTCTTGGCTTGGCTTTGTAATCAGTATTTTCAGTCTCTTAATGTATGATGTGTGAAATTAACTTTGGCGTAAAATCTGACCGGTGGTGGATGATATTTTTAAACGACTTTACCATGTTCCCTTCTCGACTCATTAGTAGTATCGGTCATATCTGAATTTTAGATGTGGATTAAATTGGGTGTAAACGAGTCGAACTTGAACGAATAAGGTTAGATTCGTGTTTGTTTTTGAGGTATTTATGTTCGGCTCATTTAGTGTATTGTTTATTTTTGAAAGTATTTATGTTATGTTTATTTAGCGTACAAGTGTTTATGAACATTTTCAAACATATTCAGAAATGTTAACAAACATAAAAGTTAATAAAATTATGCCAATGGTCATAGTCTTTTTATGGCTTTTCCATATGAACTTCAAAGTCTATCATTTTATCAATATTTAAAATAAAAAAATAAAAAGAAAAGATATGCTCGACTTGGGTATTTTATTTAATTTTCGTATATTTGGAGATGATATTGTATCTATGCACAAAAAAGACGAAATTTTAGAGAAAGTAGGGGCAAATAGAGATGGAATTGTGTCAATCTTGGTACCACCACTATTATTATTAATATTTATTTATTATTGTGGAGTGACGGAACAAAAGGCGGTTTTGTTGGGTGCAGAGAGCCTCTAAATGACTTCTAGGCAGTGTTTTGAAAATTGGACTGGATCGATTGGTTTAATCGGGAACTATTGTCTTGTTCGATTCATTTTACCCCGGTTAAATCGGTTCTAGTGAACCGTAAGGAACTGTTCGAATCGATTTTGAACCGTTCGAATCGGACCGGACCGTGAACTGGTTCAACCTAATTTTTATTTTATTTTTTATTAAATGTTTTTAGTATTTTTATTTAATTTTTTTTAAATAATTATGACGTCGGTCGGTTCTTACGATCGGTCTAACCGGTTCGACCGGTTGAACCGGTAATACGATCGGTTCATTGATCGGTCCGGTTCTGAAAACCATGCTTGTGTTATTTGGTAAAATTGATGGCATCCTAATTCTAACCGTAACTACAAGCAAATAAATTTTCCAAAAGTTGGAAAACACCAGAAATTTAATAAACTTCCCCAATCAAATAAGGACCATTGGCATCACAATTATTCCACCTGATTTCATTCATTAATTGATCCAACTTGGCATAAATCTCTCTACTTTCTGGATGATCCTTGTCACTCGCCACAAAACGATGGACCTTATTATCAATTTCAATCCAACTACAACCTGCTTCCTTACTTAACTTCAACTCCTTCATGGTTGTTCTGACTTTCGCCGCCTCATCTAGCAATCCGGACCCAGCATACATGTTTGAAACAAGTATGTAGGAACCAGCTTCTTCGGGCGTCAAGTTTAGCAGGGTTTCCGAAGCTAACATGGCATAATCTAAATCCCCTTGCAACTTAGAGATGTTTACCAGTGTCGTCTATAGTAGAGGTGAATCCTGAAAAGGGCTGACGTTAATGAGATTCATTGCTTCCGACAAACGCCCGGCCCTCCCTAAAAGATCAACCATACAAGCAAAATGCTCAACTGACGAGGTGATCCCGGAATTCGATTCCATTTCATTGAGTATACATAACCCTTCTTGCCATAACCCTGTGTAACAACAAGCTTGAAGGACAGCCAATATAGTAATCTCATCAACTGCAACACCTTGTTTCATCTCTTCAAAGAGTCGAGGAGCCATTTTGCCTTGACCGTGGATGGAATATGTGGAAACTATGGCATTCCAAGAAACTGAATCACGGCGACTCATACCATCAAATATTAGACAAGCATCTTCGATACTGCCACATTTAGCGTACATGGTTATCAAAGAATTATTCACAGTTAAGTCAGGTTCAAACCTTGTTTTAATGGTGAAAGCATGAAGACATTTCCCTTTTACTAAACAAGCTTGTTTGGTAGACAAACAAAGAAGCCGTGAGAAAGTGACTAAATCGGGCTTTATACCAGTTAATTTCAGTTGATGAAACAAAACCATGGCATCCTCATCGTTGCCATCTATACTTGTTTCAGTGAATCCAATGAGAATTGCATTAAACTAAGCAATATTTTTACCAGAGAAACCATCAAATACTCTTTTTGCGGACTTTAAGTTATCGGATTTAGAATACATATCTACTAATGCAGTCATGATATTGGCATCACATAGATAACCAACCTTAACAACAAATGCATGGAGTTGAACTCCCAAATCCAAGTTTTTGCACTCTGAGAAACCATCAAGCACAGTCACTAAACAGCCTGGATAACATGAAATTCCATGGTCAAGTAATTCCAAGAACGTGTGAAAAGCCTTTTCACTGCAACTTCTTATGTACCCCGAAATAAGCGCAGTCCAAGAAATCAAAGTCCTCTCACTCAAAATATGAAACATTCTTTCACTATCTTCTACCATCCCAAGCTTCCCATACATAGTAATGAAAGCATTCACCAAATAGGTCACTTTGACGACTCCATACTTTACAGCAAGCCCATGCATCTGTTTCCCTTTGCCAATGCCGAAATTTTCACTACATGAGCTTATCAGATTAGTAAACGTATAATCAGTTGGCTCCGAATCCGAACTTAACATGTCAACGAAAACCCGAAAAGCTTTCTCCTTAAACCCAGATTTTCCATACTCCAAAATCAAGTAATTCAAACACTGAACATCCTTGAATCCAATGATATTAAAAACTTTTTCTGCTTCATTTAAGAAACCATTCACTGCATACATGGAAATCAAAGAAGTGCCCACAAAAGGATTCCCCTCGAACCCACTTTTTATAACAAAACCATAGATTTGCTCACCTCGAATCAGGTCTTCTTCCTTGTTTCACGCTTTTAAAATTAAGAAATACATACCGCGAGTGATTCCAAACACGGATTCGGGATCTCCATTGTCTAAATGGCCTTTAATTAAAGTAGTCCAAGTGAGTGTGTTTCTAACAGGAATTTCATCGAACAACTTTCGGGCATCATCAATTTCATTGAATTTCGTGCACAAATTGATAAGATTGTTTCCTTGAAAAACGCCGTTTGAAGAATCAGATTTGATTAAAAAAAGCGTGGACTGCACGACCCAACAAGAAATTTCCAGAGCCAATCGAGAGCTTGAGAAGATAAGGTCAATCTTCAGTAAGAATCAGCTCTTTGTTAGTTGAAATTCTCGAAAGGGAGAAACAATGGACCCTCTTTAACTTTGGAAATTTGGCCTTACAGAAAGCTTAGCGTTTGTTAGAAGCAATGGATTTTGGGATGATGAAGCGCGTTGGCGCCATAAGCAGCTTCCATGGAGATTTGATTTATATTAAAAAAAAGACTACAAATTTAGTTTGAGGGCTGAAAAATGGCTTGGGCTTAATTGGACTCACAGTCGGGCCTCCTCAAAAACCGATTTGGGTAAATTATATAAATGGTCCCTAATTATAGGATATTATTTTGTTGAGTATATTGACTATTAAAAATTACAAAATAGTCTTCTAACTATAACGCTTCTCTTTGTTGAGTCCCCTGACTATTAAAAATTACAAAATGATCATATTATTTGTGGTAAAGGTAAAGAATGAATCTCAATTATATGATATGGACACCATCGAATTTCAATTATTGATGAAAACGTCACCATGTTGAAACAAACGCACACCATTTTCTGCTAAAAACTTGACGATCATCTGAGGTAGACGATAATATACTAATTGAGACTATTTATCTTATTTTTTCGTATTGATTTATTCATGGGTAAATTTAATTTAAACCCTTACGATTTTGTATGTTGCTTAATTTAATATTTCTTTTATATTCCGATAAAAAAAAAGCTTATGATAAGCACTTGAAATTGAATATGTCAAACTTAATGGATGTGAATTTTGACAGTAAGAGGTATTGTTTTTGGATCATATTATTTGTGGTAAAGGTAAAGAATGAATATCAATTATATGATATGGACGCCATCGAATTTCAATTATTGATGAAAACGTCACCATGTAGAAACAAACACACACCATTTTTTTTATTGTAACCAGGGTAGTTATGATGTACGACATCTTTAATATACAGCTAAAGAAAGATCCTACCGGAAATGTTAATTTCGCTACTTAATTTCTGATAGAAAAAAATAAAATTTTAGGTAGCGCCCAATATTAATATTTTCGGTAGAAAAAAAATAATGTTTTAGGTAACGTTTTACTGGAAATGTTAAACATTTTAAGTAGAACCCAATATTAACATTTTCGGTAAAAAAATAATGTTTTAGATAGAATTTTACCGAAAATATTAAAAAAATATTAACATTTTCGATAACGTCTTTATTTAATTGTATATTAAGATTACTGTATCTGAGTCATCTCATGGAACCATCAAGATGGCCTAATGTTCGGCAAATAGATTTGTCCATTACCTAAATCGGATCAAAAATTATTTATTTATTTTATCTTAACCAGCTGTTGGTCCAATTTTACTGTTATATTTAAAAAAAAAAGAGCGTAATTTTAAATTTAATACATAATCATTTTGGTTGGACTGTTTGACCCGATACCAAAATTTCTTTGTTCAAATTCACCTCGGGTTCGGCTATGTTGACCACCGTTGGATGGGATACACAATCAATTTTATTTACGAAAATGTGTTAAAAAAATTTATGTTATAAATAAATTTATAAAATTATTAATATAAAATATTAAAAATCATCTAAATCATAAAAAAAAATTCATATGTTGATGAACATGTGAAGGTTGAAAGGTTAGTTTGTGGGTTTTGCACCTTCCAACTGGAATTGGATGAATGAATGCCAGAATTGTAATAAATAAACAATGCAATTATTGGATTCAACGTATCAGTACAAATGGAGTACTGGAATTGGGCCAAGTTTTAATTTTCTTCTTTTCTATTTTCTATTTTTTATTATTGAAAACAAAATCTTCTTTCTAATATATATATATATATATATCTACAAATAAAAACAATTATTTTTATTAAAAAAACTTTAAAATAAAAATATATAATCATAAATTTAAATTAAACATATAATTAAGACATTTTATATAATCATTGACAC